GAATAGGAGAAATGAATGTAGGATATAGAGTAGGAACTATTTGTGTTTGTTGAATAGACTTAAGGAGAGACAGGAATGGAAGGAGAGGAAGAGCCGCTGAGTAAGAGAAGGAGGCTTTAATAACCTCAAGTCTGATTACGACTCTCACACTTCACATGACTCGAATATTGCATACCCAGAATATACAGTACCACATAGGTGACAAAATTACAGGATCATATATTTGATTATTTGGGCAAGGAAACAACTGCCTGTACATTCACGTCCTTTTCATGTATCAATCTATACAATCTAAAATAATGCATGTTAGGCATGTTTTTGGTCTTAGCATATTTGGAGGTTTTTTTTGTAGAATAGGGTTTCTTGATTTGAAAGTATAGGAGCTACATTTATCCTATTTCGTTGAAGATGATGATATGAGTGAGTCTCATGTTTACAGTGAATTTCGCCTAGCCATGCTTCCCAAAAGGTATTCTTCTCCAAGCTGTAGTGGACTGCGTTCTTTACCTCGCTTGAGTCTCATCGGCACCCGTGGCGGGACTCGAACCTACTTATAAACTGAAAACCATTAATGTAATCAATTGCTATAGCAAATACATCTTTGCTTCGTCGACAAGCCCACCGCAGGAATATGATCTGCAGTAGGCCTAGGCTTTCTTGAAGTTTGCTTCTACCGTGTGACCAAAGGGCACTCGCAGCAGTCTGGCTTGGTAGCTGACGTGCCAAGACTGTACGCTGCACTACAACAACTCGGCTTCGAGTCCCGCTGGGATTGCTGTGAGACCCTTTCAGACTAGTTCGAAACTGCAATTTAGTCCTGCATGGATGAAAATACTTTTCCTGAAGCAAGGCTATGTGAAATTTAATGGAAGTGTGAGGCCTACTCATATGGTTGAATGCAGATCTACAATTGGTCTCAAAAGCTTGCTCTGACGATGTCTGCCACATGACAGAAGAAAGCTTAGCGTAGGTTCATTAAGGCCGCAAAATATGAGCTGAGGACTTCTGCACACAATCCAGTAGTCTTCACTCCTCTAAGGCAATCATCCTTTGGTTTCCGGTGAGACCAATTCACGAATTCTTTTGAAATGAAAGATCACGTCACAATCATTGTTCATATACTCGCCTCTTGGTTCGACCCACGTTAGAGAGAGGAGTGATCAAATTCTAAATTGGATCAGGACGCTCTTTTGATGCACTCATCGAGCCACAATTCCGTGGCGAAATGAAACTTTTTTCTCTTCTTTTTGGCTACATTTACAATAGATGCCATTAGGGTCAATCTCTTGTAATCACGATTCAACGCTATTTTGCGCATCCTTAATTCATCCTTTAACCACTTCCAATGACCTTGCTGTCCATCTTGTTGGGTCGAGACGCCAAGGCTACAAAGAAAAGAATTCGAGTCATTCGCATGCACCTTCTTTACCTGTTAAGCATGCGATTGGGACCTTCGTTTAAAAATTTCTAGTAAGGAAGACGAACTCCATTTGAATGAGTGTGCTCGTTAGGACTGACTGGAAGATGTGAAAGACGGCCTGAATGAGACCTAAGAAGCATCTGAATAGACTCTTCCGCTCCAAGCTCTTAACGTATCTCAAGCGTTGTAACTTGTCCGGCGGCCTATTAGAAATAGGGATTAAACCAGTCTTGAATTCATTTGTGGAATGCTTTCACGCCATCGTTATTTTTTTAATATTTCTATTAAAGCCTATCTCATGTGCAACCTCTTTGCACAAGCAAAGAATGTGCAGAAAGAGGGGGTAGAAGGAAAGAAGAGCCAAACAGCTGCTTCAACATGGGCTTTAGCCTTGTCTAAAGCCAGTTTTAACTGCATGCTTCCACTAAAAATTCAAGTTGCAAGAGGCCACGTTCTAGCCTCCATTCTCACGATCTGATTGCTATTCCTGCTCGGAGTGCCGGTAAAATCCAAGCCTAACTGAAGGTGAAGTACAGAGCTCTTAAGGGCGGTGAATGATGATATTAGTTTATCTTGGCAATTTTGATCTTGGATTTAGTTATAAGATGTATTCATTCTATTTCTTTAAGGTGACAAAATACTGGTATTTAAATTTTCCTACAATGATCTGAATATGCCTCATATTTCACTTGAATCTCAAACAGCCTTGCTTTGCAAAAAGTATTCTCATCCAGACTTGACTTGAATGAGACTCCGATTTAACCTGAACTGGTCTCATTAATATCTCCAGCGAGACTCGAACCATGAACGTGCAGCGTATAATCTCGACACGTTAACTGCTACGCAACTGACGAGGGAGACCTGGCAATTTCCCATTCCGTGGTGGGATTTTCGACGAATAAGAGTAATATTTGCTATAGCAATCGACTACATTACTTATTTTACGTTTGTAGGTAGGCTTTCGAGACTACTATTAGATCTGACTAAAAAGCTGTATTTACCCTATTTCGCTTAAGATGTTCTCATCCAGCCTGAATTTCAGTTTTGACCTCACCAAGATCTCATTACCACCCCAAACATTACTCGAACCCGGGTTGTTGTGGTGTAGCCACAATATCAAAAGTGCTCTTTGGTCTCAGGGCAGACGCTCTTGAATTCTCAATGAATACATTATCTATAGAAATCCTAAGGTACATGGTAAAAGTGAATAAGCGCTATGTCGATACTGTATGTGGGTTACCTACACTTGGGCAGGTGAAATTGTAAATTCTAACCGCGGTCATACCACTGCATGAAGACCATAATTTCTGCTTGATGGGCTTATTCGGAACTTGGTGAAAGATTCTAGTTGCAAGGAAATGTACTCAGGAGACTATGAGCAGATGTATAAAGTGTCCTTTAGTGGATCATCAAGTTGATCAAGACGAAGTATTTTCAGGTAGCCGAATACTCTTCGAGTGATACACTTTCAAAAAACCCATGCAAGCCTTCGGCTCAGGCAAGGATGGACTCCATCTCGCGTAAAAGAATGTGATGAAAAGAATTATATTTAATTTATAAGTAGGTTTTGAAGATTAGCGCTAAATCAGTTGTATGAGATATATTCACTCTATTTCGTTTAAGGTGATAAAAGACTGGTAGTTGAATTGTCCCATAATGAAATGAGTACAGTCTTGTTTTCCCAAACGTTGTTTTCATCCAGTGTGGACTGCAGTTTCGACCTTGCCTAGTGGTTAATGTGTCGAGAGTACACGCTGCATTATCATGGTTTGAGTGGTACTGGGGGGTGTCGATAAGGCATAGACGAGGTCTAAACTGCACTCCACCCTGGATGAGAACACCTTTTGGGAAAGTAAGGCTATGTGAAAATCAATGGAAGCCTCAGTTATACTCATATGATTGTGGAAAAATTCAACTATCAGCCCTTTATCACCTTAAACGACATAGCGTGAATTAATATCATATAAAAGATTCCTAGTTCGAACTCACCACCTTGTCCGATTTACTTCGATATCTGTGAAAGTATGCTGAGCTTTCACCTTTTATGTTGAGTTGACTTTATCTAAAACCTTTGTTCACTAAAGTGATGTAGTCCCATTAAGCGACGCAGAGCCTTTTCCTCCAAGCTCAGCTGTGTTCAGAACAATTTATTACAGTTTTTGTTTCGGTTAATGCTGAAAGTTCGATTGTTATACTTACCTTCAGCTGACTCCACTTCATCTGTCTAGCCATCTTTCCTTAAATTTGGAGAGTTGGCTTTATTGAATCAATAAGTAATTCCAGAATGCATATCTACCAGGACAGGACTAGCCGCCACGAACACGGGAATATGAAGATTCCATTTTTCGCCACATGCCACTTTTTCACAGACCATACATTTGACGTTTTCTTCCCCTCAGTGTGCTTACTCGCCAAATTTAGTCTCCTGGTCTCCATAAGGTCGAATATCGGATCATCCCTGGCTTCCTAAGAGTTAGGCACACAAAAATGTCACTCTATAGGCCTCATCAGGGCTGCAAATCACTCTCACAACGATTTCAAGCTTACACAGAGTCAAAAAATGCAAGTCGAAGAAGGTCTTCTCTAAGACTTTTCTCGCCTGGGTGTCACAGAAAAGTCAAAGAAGAGCATGCAAAGCGATATCCGCCCTCATCCGTTACGCCCTGAGGCTGAACACCTACATAACAACATTGTCAGAGGGAACAGGGCAGGAAGCGTTATTCGAAGCCTTCCAAGTTGAAAAAATGCAGTCACACAGAACTTAAAGGACAGATTTCCGAGACACGCTATGCTCGTATACATACACACACATACAATAGCGTAAGAGCAAGTTCGCTGATCTCTTCCACTAAAGTTTTGAAGGTTATATAGCATTAATTTATTCCCAGATGTCTCCTCGTTGCCCAGCTTGTCAGTTTTGAAAGAAACCTGAGAAGCGATTTTAGATGGGCCCATTTTTTCTTGGGTCGCCCCCTGTTAGGGGCGGAGGCAAGGTCTGGACAGACTAGGAATCCCGAAGGAGTTCCCAACCTCGGGCTGTACGTCAGCATGGAATTTCCCGCTATCTGCGGTTTCTCCTTTTTACATATCATGAATGAGTCAACTCTCGATCTTCTTCGCTCCATGTTACTTAATAGACCACCGGTGACTCAAGCTCGGGTTCAAGATCTATTGATAACCTCAATGACTAATTTCTTGGTATCTAATTTTTCATTACTTTAATGAATTATTTTATTTGTTTACTGTCTAGATCCTCAGGCTGGCCAGTATTAACCCGTCCACCGACATTTGGCTTGCAGACCACGAGTATGTCATGGAAGGCCTTGCCGATTTGTCGATTAGCGGTCTTCTTAAAGTATTCGGGTTTGACGTCGTCGGCAACCTGCTTATTCTGCCTTACGGTCAGAAATTTCGGTAAGCCTCGGCTGATGCACTGTCCTGACCTACTGTTAATATGCACTTTTTAGATTAGCTCTCGCATGGACACAGCATTATTTTGTGGCAGCCTGAGCTGGCTAAGGGATCATATTTCTCTCTGAACTAGAAAAAAATGGTGGTTCTTTTAAGTTACACGTATACATACATACTCTATGAGGGTTTTAAGACTGTACTTGGGGAATCACTTAAAGTGTGTATAAGCAACGGAGAAATATAGGAGGAGAATATGAATCCACCCCCAGAGCTGCATAAATTTGGACTATCTTTGATGCTAATGTAAGGTGTTTAACTATTGAATATAGTCAGTATAAAAGCATATGAATTTGTTGGATTGGTAGATCAGAAGATTACTTATGGGGATATCATTTTGCTAAAATTCCATGTATTCTAGAACACAAATCTGACAGTCCCCTGTGGCGAGTCCCATGCAATGGCTATCTTTGTCAAAAGTGGTGACGGTCTAGAACTGTTTTTTTCGGCGTCAGCTAGAGGACGCAACACTGACGATACATGATTCAAAGATGGAATAACTGTTGTTGAGTTCACATCAATTTCGACTAAATGTGTATAGTAAATAGATTGGTAAGTCGATCCTATCAGAAGACGACGACGGATCCTTCTTGACCAGCTGTCGCTTGGCTTTACTGGAACCGTTTAGTGTTCCCGAGCCCGCTAAAAACTCGCTTATCTTCAGTATTTCATTACATTTGACAGACATCATCGGAACAGGGTACCATTCTTACAGCTGGCTCAAGCCAACAAGTCAAGTCATCTCATGAGCATATCCCTACATACTGTATATGTACTCCAATCCCACGAATTTTTATCAGATATGGAGGTATTTGGTTAGTTCAGGTCATATCTCAATCTCGAAAGATGTGCCTATGTGTATGCGTTCACTTGTTGTAAGAATGCTTCTCAAGTCTGATGATTACAATCGAGCCATATAAAAGATTGTCTCTATAATGCGTCAATAATGATGTTACGACTAAGGCAGATAACAGCAGACCCTAAGGACTCCATCATTGTCTTCTCGTTAGATCGACTTGCGGATCTCTACTGCTCACGTTTATTCTGAATAGAAGAGTGCTAAGTAGTTTTTAAACTAAAATAATCAAAAAATCCATTTTATGATATTACTGTGGTCAGGATTTCACTAATCTACC